CCTCTTTAATTTGTTGGTCGTGGTTATCAGTATCAAGTAGAATTCCTTAACTATGTTAGAACGACAGGCGATGCACGGCATGTAGCTCACATTCAGTTAAGACATGTGAAACAGTGTTTTCTGACATTCCACATGGCTACGTGGAAACGTCTCTTAGGCCTCTTCTAGGAAGATATTTGGAAAAGAATTCATGGACAGCTGGGAATTGTATCGTTTCTCTCGATGGTTTGAACCATGTAGCTTGCACAATGAATGAAACATTTGGCACAAATTTGTTTGTCGTCCTTCCTGTGCCATACATGTCCCACCGCCACTGCTTCAGCAAACGTATAAGCTTTTCTCTCGTCTTCAGCTGCGACTAAAATAGTCCCAAAAATATCCACAGTTTCATAGAGCGCGTCTTGCTGCGAGTTTTCTCATTTCCAGTTCTAATGGAAACATATCTGCTAGGATTTGAAGGCTCATGGCTGAGCTTGTCCTGTAGGCGCCTGTGATAGCAAGTAGTTTGACGCGCTGTGTACTATTGAGGACCTTACTTTTTCTTGTAAGTTCAGCTCTGTGTGCCCACACTTCTGCTCCGTAACTTATGATTGGCAGAAACGCGCCCTTATAAATTATTTTAAGCATTGGTCTCTTTAGTTGTATGGCCTGTTGACTTATGCCTCTAAGTTTGTAAAACAAATTGCAAGCCTTTTGACATAATTTTGACATGGGGCAGCAATGTAAGTTTTGGATCCCATTTTGGATTGGTTTGGCTTTGAAGTTTGGTTCCCAGGTATCTTTGAAGTCTGGTTTCTTTAATGGTTCTTCCATCGTTTTTTAATCGAGGAGGGAATCTTATGTGAAAAGTGGGACCAATTAGTATAAATTCTGTTTATTCAATTGGCAGTTTTAATTTTACGCTTTTGCACTACTTAGAAATTATATGGTGAGGTTGAACTAATCATTCTTCCAAATCCTTGCAGCTTTTCCCTTGCACAACGACTGCTAAACCATCCGCATAAACTATTGCCGTGATACCTACCTCCAGAGGCGGGATTTCGGATCTTTTATTGGAGGGCAAAGGTCTCACTACATAAGATGGGGCCCTACACAAAATTGCATATGATTAGTTACACTATAATTCTAACATAAACATAATATTTTTGACAGATTTCTTAGCCCGCATCATACCACCCACACCCCTCTACAATAAGAAACGTGTTTTTTATTTTAATTTTTATTCAAATTAACACAATTTTATCTGATTGAAAGAATATGAAAAATAAAAAATAATTTATACTATAAGAAAAACGTTTTTTATATTTTCTCAGTTCCAAATTCAAAAGCATTTTTTTAATTTACTGTCTTAGAACCATGGAAGAGACTTGAAAAAAATCTCAAAAGATTCTCTTAAACCAAAATGTGCACTAAAACAATGCTCTAATAACATTGAACATAACAGAAAACATTCAGTGGAGTAAACAAATTCGCTTTTTTCTCAGTGTACACTTGGCATTATACAAATATTATGCATTAGATTTTTTCGATTGCTGAGCTGTAGTTAAAAAATAAAAAAAACTATTTTTACCATTTTAAATCACACTTTGAAAATTGCTGCAACAGTTCTATGCATTTATTTGAGTGTTTATTATAGAATTGTAATTAAAATTGTCCTGTTATCCAAAAAATAATGATCCTCTTTTGATAATGGTGCCGATATTATGATAAAACAACAGATTCGCCATTATAAGACCAGAAAAGTGAAAATGCCCTAATAACATTGAACATAACAGAAAACATACAGTGGAGACAACAGATTTCCTTTTTTCAAGTGTACACTTGGCATTAAACAAATATCATGCATTAGTTACAATATATCTTACATAAAAATGGACTAACATACTTACAAAATATAATATAATAAAAAGTTTTACTCAAAGTTATTCTTATATTTTCACTTTCTGACTTTTTCAAAAGTTGTAAACCAGCAGATTTTGGTAGTTTGCGGCAGTTTTCGCAGCGTTCACAAATTTATTCTTTTGAATATCCATTAAAGAAAATCGTCTTACATGGACAACAGCCTAAAGTTTTTTTGTTTGCCGACTTCCATAGATTACAAGTCATGCTTGAAAACACACGATTTTTATCGCATCGCGTACCAACGAATCGTTCTGTGAAAAGCACCTATTTTTCGGCATTCGAAATATTAAAAACGCTAGGAAATTTGTAATGGAAATAATTTATTTAATCATAATATACGTATGTTCCTTATAATTCTAAACAGTATGGTACATTACAATAAAATATGCTTTCAGACTGTTACATTCAATTTAGGGTAAGGCAGGTATAGATGGTGCGAATAGTTACAATTTAGTTCATCTCCTATTTTGTACGCTTTTTTCTAATATACCCAAAAATGCACATTAAATATCAAAATATCACCCGTAAGCTGTTCTTAAGCGTTTTTCTCTAATTAAATCATTTTCAATTAGTTCCGAAAATTCTGTCCCAAATCAACAACTACATTTGATCCTTCCTCGGATTTGCTTTCCACTTCCATATTTTTGTACCCTCATTTTTGAAAATATTAAAATTCCACTAACTCAGTCTAATTTGTATTAACTTTTACTTCTGCAATTTCTCTATTAATCCTTTTGTAGGCGAATATATATAAACAGTAAAAGACGCCTTTTTACATGTTTATGTGAAGGTGTTAAGTTTAATAAGAATAAGTTGTTAGTCACATTCATTTGAAAATCGGTATTTGCACACTTTAAAATGTAATAGTGAGAATTCGAACATAATACGTTAAATGTGCTTAGATTTTTTAGCACTACTCAAAGGTTGGTTTTCTTCGTATTCACTTTAAGTTCTTCAAATTTAATACGTTTGCCACAAAAAAACAGGTTTTTAGAAATTTCTTAGAATTTTTTGGCCAGATTCGTAAACAAACTGTCAGTTCCCCACCAAGAGACCGAGGCGTGTCGAATGACACCTCATAAGTCTCGATTGGTACAAAGGAAGGTTTAACTGTGAGTGAGGGATCCGCACACACCCAAACTCGCTGTTACGCAAATACAATGTAGGGGCTAGTTGAATGTGGCGTCGCCGACGCGTAAACTGTTTGAAAAGTATTTTCATGTGTTGAAGATTCTGTCATCCATAGCTTAATTCATTACGTTCTTACAGTCTCTAGAATTCGACATACCAACGAATCGTAGAAGCTAATGATGTTTTACTCCTCTTCAAAAATTTCCAATTCCCTTGTATATTACCTCCATAGGGGATATGAACTGGTAATATTGCAATTTCAAAATTATAAACGCTGTAAAAGTTGCAGGTACGAATGATGCTCATGGTTAAAAGTACATACGTATATTATGTACAAATGGTTTAAAGAAAATAAAATATTTCCTATTTTGACACATGATTTCGCAAAAATTCTACTTTTTTTGACAAATTGAACATGATCTTATTTGAAGATCTGATTTTGATGAACACATTTTATCCAGAAAAAAATTATCTTCTTAATTGTAGTTGTAGGAAGATGCCGAACAAAATTTGAATTTGTTCAGTTTTTGAAAAATTTTTCACCAATATGAAACCACCATTTTTTTAAAGGTCCTTCAGACTATCCAACAACAAAATTTAATCGAAATCGACGGGGCCATTTTTAAATTTATTTTTTACAAAATAAAAAATTGCCTATATTTCAAACAAAATTCTGCGAAAATAAATCAATTTTCTAAAAAGTAGGGTGTTCAACCAACATGAGACCTGCGCCATCTTCTTAAACGTCCTTCAGACAATCCAACAACAAAATTTCATTAAAATTGATGGCGCCATTTTTTAAAAAAATTTCAATATGTGCCAGGAGCTTCATATAAAGCCCCCCTCCCCATTAAATTATCGATTTGAAATTCAAGGGGCCGTGACGTCAGCCAGATCGATCGGGGAATATTGATTTTGGAGAAAACCGACTAAACGGTTTTCTGGTAGGCGGTTGGCTGGTATCGTTGTTCACAGACCGAGGAAAGGACAGTCAGACGTTTTGCCGTCAATAGATTTTTCGGTGTTAAGGACCCACAAAACATGGATTGTGGCTACACCACGTGTTAGGGCGGCTTCCCACGGCGCGGCCGCGGCGCGCTTCCTTCAAGGAGCAGAGCTCTTCCGACGCAGCCACCGCCAGAGCCACGGCCGCACCGCCGCCCGCCGTGGAAGGGGGTGGGGGTCTGGAGGGGTAGGTATCGCCGACCCTCCGGCGACGCCGAACAAAGGGACCGGAGCAGGTATATCTAGAACGATGCGGCCGCGGCGCAGTGGGAACGCTCCCATTTAAAGATGTGTTCTGCTAGAGGTGGCGCGTGGCCCCTCCTCCGCTTCGCGTAGCTGGAGTTCGGCGTCGGCTGCCTCAGCAGCCGCCATCCGCTGCACGTGGGAAGGCCTCCATTCAAACCAATGCTCTGCTACGCGCCGCGCTGCTGCGACGTGCGCTGCGGCCGCGCCGTGGGAAGGGGCCCTTAGAGGATTTTTTTATTTAGCAACTGGATCTATCCACTTTTTCGTTACCAGGGCCCTGTAATAAGAGGTTTTCTGCCGAAAATTCGTAGTTTTTTTTTCGCGCAACATTACATAAGTTTATCTTCTAACTTATTTGTCAAAAACTGTGTGTGACGTGCTATGGGGAGAAGTTAATGTAAAGTTACAATTATGTCCAGAAGCAAAACAAGGGGCCATCTCAGCATTTGCTCTAGGATCAGGGAAACTGGACGAAAACCTGTTGGAGATGGTGGTCATTGACCCAGAAATAGGTTACAGGTTCTTTACAATTATACAATCCAAATGGTATATAATACATTAAATGTCATTGTTAAAATTAATATTACTTTCCTTTTGGATGCTCGGTATAGTCTCTAATTGTATAGACACAATTGTGCAGCAGAAAAAATTTTACTTGGAATTTACACTTTTTCTTAAGAAGTTCCTGCTCAAGTGAGGGAATAAAAAACTGTGACTTTTATTCTTACAAAAAATTTATTGGGTGTTTCATTTACAGAAAAATAATTTGTAATTAGATTTTACCATGAAATCAATCAAGACTTCATAACCTGAATTATTTTGTCATAATAGCCAAAACATTTTTGATGGGGCTGGAAGAATGTCAAATTCAAGAAATTTCAGCGATAGTCAGTTTCTGCGATATCCTTACATCATTCTTTATAAATAACAATAATTATAGTTCAATTAATAATACACACAAGTCAATTAATAATTACAATCAATTCATATATTAAACAAATTAATAAATGAATACTGAATTCAAGAAGTCAGTTTCTGCGATATCCTTACGTCATTCTTTATAAATAACAATAATTATAGTTCAATTAATAATTACAATCAATTCCTATATTAAACAAATTAATAAATGTATACTGAATTGAAGAAATTGTAATAAAAGCCAAGGTATTTGAGCGACAGAAACAAAATAAAATGATATTTTATAACAAAATAAAGTGATCTTGTATGTTTTTGAAGTGGTATTAATTGTGACTTGTATCCAGAGACTTTACTAGAACAACTTCATTAGTACAAATATATCTCTATATAAAAATGTGCAATAGTGTAGTTTCCAACCAATAATTACAATATTAATAGACAGAAAATGCTAAAACAATGCCTTTTATTTTAGATATAATATTACAGTTTAGTGGTTGAAATATAGAGCATTTGAATTCAAAACAGTGTTTTTAACAGTGGTTGTCTCGTTTGTTCATGAACACAATTGCCTATTAAACTTGTTTTCAAATTCTGTTTAAGAGCATTAGACTCTATTTATTACTATAAATCATGAAAATATATTAATATATTTCCTTTAAAAATACCTAATTTTGTTTGTTCACCTAACACATTTAGTTTTGAAAAATCACATTACAATTTAAACAACTTAATTAATGTGATATCACTACAAAATACATTGTCCATTCATTCAAAAATATGAACATGTTTGAAAAAATGTATTTTCATTTGGAGACATGCAATCTAAACTCATTTTGTTTCATATCTCTTCTTAACTGTTTGTATTTAGTAAATAGTACAGTATAGAGAAGAAGGAAATATACTTTCACAAGTTTTACAGCAATAGAAATTATTTACAAATGGTTTAGAAGAAAATTGTGTCATTGTTTCATTTGTTATCATAAAATTTCTCTAATTAGAGGGCTCACTTAATGATGATACATGGAGGAAACCTGGACCCATCAAAACAATGAAGCTGTTTTAACATGCATGCAAAACAATTACTCAAACTATACCAAGAATTAGGTTGTACACCAACCTGCAATTAAACACAAATGAAGAAGAAAATGGATTCAATTAAAAAACATTTACCAAGTATTAAATACAAACAAATCAATGATTATTAGAATAAAAATTTTAATCAATGTGAATTATAAAGGAATTTGCATCAACAAACAAATATATCAATCATGTGGCTGTAAACATGTTATTTTTGTAACATTTAATAAGGAATTAATTTACAATTAAAGGTAATTCTTTAAAGTTTTTGAACATTAGAATGTTTAAAGGATCAAAGCATGTATTTCATCTCAGAAATTCTAACAGTTAAAGGTAATTTTGAATTTTTCAGATGATGAATTATTAATATCTACTATGTAATTATAATTTAGGCACTATCAGAACATGAATATATTATATTCTAGGTGCTATATGAGCACAATAATAGAAATGAAACAAGTAAATTTATGTCTAAAATCAAACTACAATTATATTGACAAAACATGATACTTGATATTACACTAGCATAAAATTTGAAATATTAATCTAGGAGCCTTTAATTAACAAAGGCACATTCAAGTCTACAGAAAAATCAGTTATTAATAAAAGTCTAATGATCTGTACTTTAATATCACTTTTCATAATTAACTATTAAATTCTGGAAGCATTAGACATTTTAGGTGGTTATTTAACAGGTAATATATCTTGCTTAATCAGCCTGCTGATATGACAAATATATAAACTCTTATAATTTATCAATACTTTAAAGTTATGAAAGCATAATTTAAAATGAATCTGGCCCTAGGGTTAAAGCATCAACTCATGATCTGGCTGAAGATATTTATTGACACCTGAGTAAAGTACACTTAAGAGATTGATTGAGGAGGTGTTTCAGTGGATATGATCTACCCCCTCAAAAAATAATTTTGTATGAAGGAAATGTTAATTTAGAAATATTTTATATCCTTTAATTATAAAATTAAAAATATTAGATTTCCTTTAAGGATAATTCCTAAAACGTGACTCTTACAACTTGTAAGCCTTTCTAGCATTAACCTGTTAGTACAGCTTGTAGGTTAACTAAACTAGAATATTGCCATCACAAAAACCTGTTGCTTTAGCCTTTAGTACCCAGGCACCCTCATAAGGACACAAATATTGTAACAATGAACCATAAAAAGAAAGATACCCCAAATTGAATATCTATTCATGTTTTACAACTTAAACTAGTGCATTATAAAACATTGCAAAAATTTAGCATTTTAGAATTTATCATTTTTTTTATCACTAATGAAGACAACTGAGCCCTCAGTAGATTATGGATCGGTAACCTCTAGGCTTTAGAAAGTATATTCCTATGATGTACATGAAAGGAGCTTTATATTCGTCGAATCAAGATATGGCACAACTCTATAGCTTTACATCTTTCAGAATAGAGTATTAAATACATAACCTTGGTAATTTTTCCTTTAAGAATCTAGGATGCAAAATTGATATACACATACAAACTTAAATTTTATACAAAACAAACTTTCCTATGATTTCCTGCAAATTTTACCAAGAAATGAAAATACATCTTCAAATTTGCAGTAATATCCTTGTATTGTTCTTTTTTTCTAAGTCTAAATCTTGATTTGAAAGTTGAATGTTCTCAATAAGATTTCAACTTAATTTTAATGACATGTTCTCCCCTTTTCATCCTTTTCAATATAACCAAAATTATATTAAATCTAGCCTAGTATTTGAAGAATTTTTTTACTTGCATAATTTTTGATTCAGAACACTGTAAATAAAATAAAATTCTTGTGAATTTACACTTATTACAGAATTATCTTCATTCTTTAACTTTCAATTTAATTGTAACGAATATAACGTTATTTAAGATAAAGTTCCCTGGATAATAAAAAAAGACTATAAAATAATTGGGTAAAAGAAAAATAACTTATTTTCTAAACTAAATTATTGAATACTTATTTCAACCAATTATCACTTCAGCACTGCATTTTCAGCCATACTAAGACATTTTCTTGAACTCAATACTTCTAGTTATGATCCTTATCAAAAAGAATTTGAATATGAGCAAATAGTTGGTAAACGTAATTTTAAAATATTTTTGTTGGAGGTGACAAGCACAAAGCAGTCTCTTGGACATACAGAGTTCAAATTACAGAAATTAGTTTTATATCGGTGAGTATCAAATGATATTTTAAGTAGAAACAAAATATTCATTGTAGTACCTCAGAACAGACAAAATGAATAAAATGTGAGACATTTCTTGGAAGCTTCCAGTTATAGAAAATACACTACTTGGTGAAAATGTTTCTTTGGCAATTACCCAGAGTCATCCTGAAGTAAGGCAATGCAGAAATTTCAGTCTCCCCTATTTTCGTGATTAATATTTTCTGGATGTTTGCCCTATCTGTTCCCTGCCATATTCAGAATTCTAATAATTTAGGAAATTCTATTTCTAAATGAAATTGTTGAAAAATTAAGAAACTTTTGAATATAGTACACACTATTGAATAAAAATGGATTCAATACAACTAAAAAAGTATAGTTTATGCTTAAAAAAGTTAATATAGTTACAATAGTTTTAGCAGCAACACCAAGATTAAATGGCACATTTATATTATCTCAAATTTATTCTCTCTCCAAAATTGAGCAAATCATTTATATCTTCCTCAAGAAGGGTCTCTTAAGTAGAATGTTTGCAATATGATCAGCAAGAATTTATTCCAGAATGATTGGAACTTTTGGGCCAAGTTAACATTAAAATTCAGTGCAAATTGATATACTTGTTGAGCGCTGATCTTTGATACCAGCACAGTTAAGAGCTCTAATGTGGGATTGCTAGAGGTTGCTCCACAAGTTGTCATATTGAAACAAACATTTATAGCCTTGTGAATGGATGTTCAATATCAGAAAGTTCACATGTTGGAAATACATTCATATTTACACATTGTGATTTTGGGAGTTTGACAATGCTTTTCAACACTCACATTTCCATTATTAAAAGTTATGAGCGAGACTTTTTGAACAGAATCTTCTATTAACATTGAGGCACATGAAAGGAAAATAAATTTCCATTTTGGTGAAAACAATTATTCACATTCATTGTTCTTTCTACCGACAAGAGCAAATTTTGATTTTCAGCTAACAAAAAAATGTCAAAATTATGAAGTAGTAATAATAGTTGAAAAACATTCAATAGTAATCTTCATGTTATTGCTCAACAACAAAAAAAATCATTATAATTTATATTAGAATATTTTTTAATAATAATCTCAATGATTTTCTTGTACATTGCTAATCAGTAATAGAAGCAAAACCTTGAACCACCTACATTGTTAGGATTATATCAATCACATAGTACAAATTTTTCTTTTAAGATTTGATAGTTTTGATTGTTCATGAGAAAGTTCTTAAATAAAGAAGATATAAATGTACGTCCTTTTTCCTAGATACAATTACTTTAAGTGCAATAAAGTACATTTCCATTTCACACATCACAGAGAAAATATTAACATTTCCAAGTGTATTACTTCTTAATTAAGAGACATTACAATTGTATATATCTAATTCCTCGAAGACAGTCGTGTACACCTCTTTTATGTACATAAAATAGTACATATGAGTTTCACTAAACCATAAATTCAATACAAAAATATGCATCAAAATGGGAAATATTTTACTTACACTTCCACAAAGAAAATATCCCCAATTATAATCTTCAAAATATTTTGGTTTTAAAACTCCTGATTTCAAGTAAGCAAACCATATTTAAAAACTTAACGAAAGATTAATTTTGCAACCAATTCTTCTAACACAAAAGGTGATCAATATCAATATTTAAATTGTAGAACAATTTCTTTTGAAAGGCATACCAAACAATCTGAATTCAAAATAAGAAAATTAAGGGAGAAGATAAAACCAAAATTATTTCAGTTGTTACAGTTTATAAAATTATATGGAAAAGAATTACTTTCACAATATTTTCTCTGATGAAAGCAAAATTAAACAAAATGAATGTAACAAAAAATTTGATGATCTGTGCTCTGTAGCTACAGACAAGAGAAACACAATATTCCATAAAATCTAAAATATGAAAATGACTGCTGTAAATACTAAGTTTTAAATAAATAACCTACCAAGGAATTATTACCATTGCAATAAATCTGTAGTTAAACTACTGTATTCAAAAAAATGTTGGGGAGTAGAAATTAAAGAATATGCTCTCAATATTATTTTTATTTGCATGAAACAACATGATGTACAAGATGCTATTAATATCCAGATTAACAGCAGCATAAAGAAATACTCTGAGTATTTTCTTTTTCTCACTTTCAAATCCAATACTTTTGAAGTTTTTAAACACACATTAGTAATATCAATTAATTTCATATGTACAATAAAAAAAATTAAAATAAAACACCCAACAAGATAAAGGAAAACAATATAATAGAAAGCTTGGGACCAAGTAGTTCAACAAAATTAAACACTACAAAGCTCTCACCTTCTTCAGAATTATAAGTATGGAAGATACCTTGAACTTGTAAATTCTCATCTTGAGAAAAAACAACAACAACAAAAAAAAAAAAAAGGACAGAATCTCCCTCTACACTAATGGGCATCTTTCTCAAATACTGAAAATTTTAACAATAGAAATCTTATCATAAAGCATTCATATTTAAATATATATCAAAATTATACCAATGATTGTAGTATACTCAATTAACAAACTATAATGCTATTGCATAATCCATTAACTAGTTCTAATTAAATAGTTTATAATTTTCCAATTTTCATAGTCTTTCTCGTATTCTTCTTTTGGTAATTTCTTTTTGGAAGTATACTTTGCTAATGAATTAGGATAGATTTGAAAACATTCACTTACAATTGAAAAAAGTTAACTAGAAGTAATCTCTTACCTTCTGAAGGCTACATAATTACCTATTAAATAGATAAGGAACTTCATGGTGCCAAGCATTTCAAATAAACTCTGAAGTTACTTCAAGAACATTAGGCACAGCCTTTACCTTCAATGATCACACTAATGTGTACTGCATAATCAAATACGTTAATTATTCCACATGAACACAAACCAAACATTCAATTTCAATCTATGTTTAAAATCAGTTGATCATTTTTTATAAATAAAATGTTGGAATAAAAATACATCTGCTGATCTCAAAAGATTTTACACTTTCATTTGACAACATACATTTCAGTATAAGAGCATAAGCAATTATCCAGATGATAACAAAGCATTATCAATCCATACCTTTTTTCATACAAATGTGTCATAAATTTGACACATCTTTTCAACCTTTTATAATATCATTATGAAATATCATAAAATGCAATTTTCTTTTCATCAGAAAAATAGTCAGAATTGATGCATAACAGTAACACTTACATCCACTCCATTTACACACAATTCACAAAACACACAACTCAGAAGTATACTTCCAATCTAGCATGCACAAACATGCCAACTTCAGATGATCGGAACTTATGTCTGAGCAGCTGAATGGATGTTTTGTTTCATGGCTTTTCTTAGTTTCAAATGAGCAAAAGTATTTATTTCCTATGAAAGTCAACACTGATACAATATTGAGCAATCTGTAACTTCATTCTTTCAGTATATCCATAAATTATGTTAAAGTGCACAAGAAGAACCAAAACATCAAAACAAGGCCTGCACAAACAGCTGCAACCAGAGTTGCAATCTTGGTAGACTTCCAAACCTTCAAGGTAGTTTACTCTATTTTCAACTGTTCTCCCAAACATCAATCTTGAAGACAGAATGAGAGTAAGAACTCTTTCTTTATTCCACTCATTTGATTTTTAAAATGGAATCTCCTTACAAAGATATAGAGGTCTTGTCAAGGTGTGAAGACTTAATTTTATTGGGAAATTGTGCATAATATCTATGCTAGGGCAATATTTTAATGTTTCTCATTAAATTTAAGGATTTTTCGTTCTTGAGAAACAAGAAGTTATTGCTTTAAGGTGAGAAAATTTTTGTTGTATTTCTCATTCCACAGTGTTAGTTTTTGGTTATGAAATAAAAATATAAATAATATATGCATATTGGGAAAGAAGACAAAATATTTTCTATCTGGTTATACACTCTTTACTTGCAGTACTATAGATGGGGAATGTGGAATGAATTTGCATTGACAAAGGTTGCAACTCACAATTCAGCTGCTGAAGGGAGAGCTAACCAATACACTTTGAAATTCATTGGTAAACTACTGTAAACTATCTTGTTTATTTACCAGCCTACCACTTTGCCTTTCTAGCTGCAACAACTTACTGGATTAAAAGAGTGTGGTAAAGAAACACTAGCGAGACAATTACATTGAATTCAGATCACATTCAACTTAAATGCCTAAGTGAAAACTCATACGAGTCACATGTATTTACATTTTGAAGATCTAGCATTAGAAATTTTAGAGGACAGTTGAAAGAGAAGTTAAATGGGGTTGTGAATGTATTATGTCTGCTTGACCACAGCAGATGCTGGAAAATAATAAAATAAACTATTTTCTACAGTTAAGTGTATTTGTTAATTACTGATGTGTCAATGTACTAAGAAATATGATTATTTAAAACTCCCCCCCCCCCCCAATAGATACTGTTGGTAGAACAATGCAAATATTTTATTTTGTTCTTTCAGGGATTTCTATGAAAGATTAAATTATGCCTTGCAGATTCAAGCAGTTTCAAGGCATTTCTGGAAATGACAATTGTTAATCTTTTCCATTGCAGAAAATTTCTACTGAAGTTTTCTTTTATCAACAGAAAAGCATCTAGGATAAAAACTTCTGTAGTCAGTGGATTGCCTGCGATTAAAAAAAAATTGATCCAATCATTTTCTATCAAAAACTAAGTTACCATTAAATTATTATTACAATTACTCTAAGTTTAAGGATCAAAATGACTAAATGAAACTAAATAATGATTATGAGATGAAGCACCCACACAAACAACATTTACAATTCTGTCATGACATCATAGCCATTGTGAAACATTTAAACATTATCCTGTCACTAGAGAAACTTTGGACTAGCCAGTGGCAGGATCAATGAACAATGTGAAGCATGAATGTTACCCTTAGATTTTTATTAATCCCCTATCTCAGCATTCTTATCTCCCATGAGGTACAGTAACTGGAAAGCAACAGCAAGAAGGCTTATTCCTAATAAATCTCCCAATGCCGTAAGGTAAGGAATTGCAGAATTATCAGGATCAATTTTATGTTTCCACATCCAATGAATCATAATGTAGGCAACATACAGAAGAAATGCCACCTGAAATAAAATGAAAGGTATGTCAAAAACTTAACACAATATTTATTGTTCTAGTAATTAAAACTATGAACTAAAGTGGTATGAAAACAATAGGTAATATCATACTTGAATATTTCAATTTATAAGTGATATTGCAAGACTGTTAGAGAGTAAACTTAAAAATCAAAAATTGAAACTTTTGTTATTTGGATAAAAATATTTTTAGTAATTATAGGTACATCCTTAGCAATTCTCCCCATAGTAGAAATAAAATTAGAATGTAATTGACATTTGAGGGTTGAAGGGCGCATACTGCACACTTTATCATGAGTGATCCAACAATAACCAGGCAAGTAGACGAAAGGAATGTTGAGAAACTCTTAACGAGTTAGTTCATAACATTTTTTCCTAATTTTAGGTGATAACAATGTGGAAATGCTGAAGTTTCTAATTCAGTTCCCTAGGTTATGGCGCTGGCACCACATGACCATGAAATGTCAACTACATTCCAATTTTATTCAGACCTTAACTGCTTTAATGCTGTGTCTATATAAGTTTAAAATGTCTCTCTACAAATTTAGAAGTTCTGGTGTAAATACCACCACAACATCAAAGAAAGTGAATACAGTGATTCATGCATTCTAAATTTACTTGTGTTTTTTTTATCAAATGCTTAAATTATATTAATTATATTACAATGCTAAATAAAATAAACAACAAAGGAAATTGAACAGAAGAAGGATTAAAATAAAAGAGGAAAACATTCTAGAAATTCAAGAAAAGTAGGAGGATATTAAAGCCCATTTGCTTTGGAAGAAGAGAAGCCCAAGCAGTATAGATGCCAGTTTGCATCATGAACTTAGCAATGAAAAACAAGATTCATTTTTACCTGAAGTAAGGCAGCACACAGATAAACAAAAACAAATAAGGGTGTTAAAGATGTATTATCAGATTTTATGTAATTTATGGTGTAAATGAAGATGAGGTGTCCTGGAACTACCATTAGCATTAGCACTCGAGCGGTTCGTGCATGACTACCTAAAAAAAAAAATTAATACATCAGACCTTCATTCTTTATAGCACTGTAGCACATGGATTGCAACCAACTTACTTTTTCCACAGAACCCAACACCTGGACTGATGAAGATAACAGTTTCTTCATCCATTAAGGTGCCAAGTTCTGCGTCTCTGTGAAGGGCAGTGGAGATTCGACTGGCCTGAACAGCCACCAAGTTGCCCCCCACACCATTTATAACTGGTTGGAACACTGCAAGCCCCTCGTGACGTGAAACCATTACATCCAAGATCATACCTCCAACACTACAAGAAACAAATTAACCAAGTAAAAACACATTTACATGAAAGGATGAAGATCATATTAACAATAGAGAATGATGAACAAATCTCTGTTGAATACAGAAGTGCATCCATTTTAGGGATGGGGAGGGGATGGGAAGGAAATGAGGGGATGGGGAAAGAAGGGGACTGGGAAAGGAGGGGAGGAGAGGAAAGGAGGGGGTTAGGTGGGGAGGAGAGGAAGGGAGGGGGTTAGGAGGGGAGGAGAGGAAAGGAGGGGGTTAGGAGGGGATGTGTCTCTTCATGTTATCAAAACAATAGTACTAACCTTATTAAAATAAAATGATTACTTTCAATAATGTGGAAATAACATAAATAAAGAGTGTGAGTGAGTGAGTGAGTGAGCGAGCGTGTGTATATACCACACACACACACATATATATACACATACACACACCATGGATGGAAACAAATGCTACAAAACTATGATACAAAATGCTCAATGCTTTAGGATACAGTAAAGAATTTTCAATATTAATTCTGAGAAAACCTCACTCTTTTGCACATCTGCAGAGTTTGCCACTGAAACCCCATCAATCTGTTCTATGCTATACATTGAAAACAAAATAATGTAAACAAGAATTTAATTTATAGTGTCATTTTTGGTTTTGATGGAATTTCATACCTGCTAATAAGCATAGCAGCAAGAACAGGGGTCCAACCAGAGTAGAGCACACTTTTTGTATGCTTGTTTTTCTTGGCAATCCATACCCAGAGTGGAGTGACAAGAAGATAACAAGCAATAATTAACGGAGCTAGCCAATCTTGTTTTCCTACAAAACAATAATAAGAATAAAATTCCACAAAATCAAAACTTTTTATCTTCCTAGAACTTTTATTATATTCCTACCAATTGCATTATAAAATACTGTAGAAATCCAAGCAAGCAATGCAAGGGAAGTCACGTCACCAAGGCTTGCAGCAATGGGGATAGCCACATTATCAGGATTGATGTGGCAGTGACGTGAAAAAACAATAACTGCAGACGTAATTAAACCTAAATCAAAGAAAAGAGGATTAAAGTAAGATCCAGATAAAATTTGTGTAGTTTGTTGTTTAGATGAAGTATTTGCTTTAAAGTATATGCACAACAAAGGTAATCATCCAATTATGGTAGGATATTACGAATTTCTTAATAAATTAATTACAAATATTTAACGTGTTGTTTAAGATTAACAAGTATTGCAATCATAGCAAGCAAACTAGGCTACACAAATGGCTATATAAATTATATTGCATAACATGAAATTCATGAAAGTTCTGAATACATAGAAAATGTTCAAGACAATGTTGAAATTACACTTGCTGAAGCATTAATAATAAAATCCACTTTGATTATTAAAATATACAGTTGGACCTCCATATATTAAATTATTTTTCTGTCCCATGGAAATTTTGTTTAAAAACGTTCCTATATATGGAACTCATAATATGATTTTACTATTTTTTCTATTAAATAGAAATGAACAATACATACTATAAATTATGTTCAATTCTTAAGCAGATTTCCAATTATGAGAAAATGTCCCAGATGAAGTGTTTCAGTGGATTAACAAGTGTGAACAGAATTTCAAATGGAGCGCATCATGTGTGCAATGAGACAGATTTTTTTTTTAAAATTCCATTTCAATGATTTGGTCAGGTATCTATGGATTACTAATTTCATGTTACTATTCATAAAAATGTGGCATGAATGATTAGAACATTTGTTAACTATTTGTTAAATTTTCCAATTTACCCAGTTTTTCTAATTGTTTAAAAGCATTTGCAAACATTTCATACCTTTTTCTATACATAGAATATTATTGAAGGAAATATCAGACTCAATATATGGAGGTCCAACTGTACTTAAGATTTAAAAATGTGATACCAAATGCTAATTTTAAGTGACAAAGATTATCAGAATGTGTCAGATGATTACTTTTACTAATCTTAGTAGCACCCAATTTTCGGAATTATTTAATGAAAACAATTTTAAAATTTTAAGACAGGCTAATAAAGTACACATTTTATATTCCTATTACATCCTATAATTATACTATCAGCTACACACTAATTTCCAGAACAAAGAGGGTTAAGATTCTTATAATTATTTAAAAAAATGATTGCACTCCTGTGATCATCTACACAAGAGTTATCCACAAAAGGAAACCTCTTCAACATCTGTTTCAACAAAATTCTTATTTCTCACTCCTAGTATATTTGAACATATACTTGGATTTTCAAAATACTACTTCACACAACAAAAGATATGTTTCATCTTGAAAGATGAATTTATATTTTGGCAGAAGACAAATAGTTTACAATGGTACTTGAAGACTAGCTTATTTTTTATTCAGTCTTCAGCAATTCCTCTCTTTCATACTGATATTGAAAAGGTTTTCAAAAAGTGATAAGAATATGTTCATATTGTTAATGTAAATAAAGAAAGTAATTTTCAAGAAAATTCCTCACCAAGAACAAAGCTGGCCAATGAAGCAGTTACTAAACTACTAGCACACAGAAGGAATGCATGGTCTAATTCAACACTTTTGCTTTTAATTCCTCCCATAACAATGGCCACCACTGATGCAAGGAATCCCACAACTGTTGCCTGGCACTGATAAAAAAATAAAAAAATCAGTAAAATCACAATGGCTCATAAGTCATAGTTGCATAAATTAAAATCAAATAATGTATTTATCATATGCAACAATATATAAACTGAAAAGAAAATTTTACAAGATCATAGTATCATTTTACAATTATTGTAAATGGAGAATCTATAATGGAAAAAAAACATGTAAAGATGAGGACGTTTTAGAATTTTATATTGTATGTACAATGCAAAATGTGTTTATTAGACATATGCATACACACACCCCTGGTTCACAGATATTAGCAACCATCAGAAGTTGAAGCAAAAGAAGAGAAAACAGGAATTACAGTATTTATTATTCTTGAAAAGTGATATTCCAAGTACAAAATATAATCTTTGTTTGTGTTTATATTATTTTAATTTATTATAATTCAAATTATAAATCTACAAACTCATTTATGCAATTAAAAAAATCTTCAGTTTATTGGAAAATACAAATTCATTATAGCACTCAAATTATTTTAGTAAAACAGGAGTTGAATGCTTCTCAGGAAATAAATCACCAATGCACACTTCAAGCTTAAGCAAACATCCTTTATTTGCTGGAAACTTCTGTAATTAGTAACCGAAATATGCAGTTGCCCAATGATTCAAATGTGTTTCTGCAATATCCCATGACCAATGCCACTAGTGGTAGTGTGTTCCTAAACAGTCTCAATGAATGTTCCCTTTTGCAAAGATGAATTTTTTATAATTTAATAATTTTAAACAGGAGTCCAAACATTAGTTTAAACAATAATTAAGGAAAAACATCTAGAATTAAATGAACAAACATTACTAGATATAATAATTTGTTCAGTGAATGAAATTCAATGAGTAAACTGAACATAAAAATTATTTATTTAAAGTCGCTCATCATACTCACCTAGTTAAACTATGATTTACCCCAAACTCATTAAATATGATTACTGTTACTTATTTACTTTACCATTCAATATATCTTTGAAATTTTTCAATACAATATTCTGCACTTCTATCTCACCTTTACTTCACGAGTAGAAAAACTATTGTTATTGTGTGCGAAAAATGGCTATTCTTGGTCAGAAAGACTTATTACTGAACCCATATTGTGCTACAATTGTAGATACTTCTCAGATTACTTTTAAATTTGCAAATTCATTTTTTAAAATGTAGAGTTCAATGAAAATCAGTTTATTTCCTTTGAAAAAGTTTGTGTAAAAAAGGCTGTAGCAGGATAAGGGGGTAAAAATGTGCCTAAGCTTAATTCAATTTTGAATAGAGGGCATGTTGAGTGTTACTTTGAAAGCCATTTTCCCAAGATCTCAGAACGGAAGTCTGATGATTTTGTAAGATATATACAAAAAAACAATTTTTTGTTTTTGGATTTTTCAGACCATTGCTAGGAGATAAAACTGAAAAAATTATGAGATTTTCTAGGCAACATCTATACCTATTAAAATTGGAGAGCTTTTTCAAAAATTGTGGGTGGGAAATTGTATTTTTTTAAATTATTATTCAGTATTTTTCTACGTTTTATTTCTGAGGCAACTACTCCAAAAAATTCTTACAAATTAATGTGTTCTTACTATAAATTTCCCCCCGATTTTTCATTGAAAAACATTAATAACTCTTTTCTGTCATTTATATGCATATAATTCATAATAAGTTAATCATTTTTTTACAGACATATTTTTCAGGTTAGAAATCATATCATTTTACCATACAAAAATATTAGGGACTATTTCTGGCACCCAATTTAAATTTCCAAAAATAAAAAAGTTACAAACAATTTTTATCACCTGAAAAAATTCTACCTTTTGTAAATTATAAAAAAATCAGGGTGTTCAACGAAAATGAGACCTACACCATTCTCTTAAGCTTCCATGAATGAAGTTAAATTTGGAGTAATTTTTAAGAAGTTTGGAAAGGTTATGGTTTCAGGTGAAAAAAATAGAAATATCATTTTTTAATTCGGAGGGACTCAAGTGCATTTAAATTAATGAGGAATATCAATTATGGGGAAAATTATGATTTTTGACAAAATTGTGCTGTTTTTCTGCACAATATTACAATACTTTCACTTTCGAATAAAGTGAAGGCAAGAAAGTCAAAATCCTAATTACCTGTCCCCCACAGCTCTAACATGAAGCAAGCACACACATTTAAAATTTCAATTACACACAAAAGCTTTCTGTTTTTCCAATACAATCTATACCAACAAGAGTATGGAACCGAGATAATTTGAGTTTTGCGTTTAGTTTGTTTTATCAATAATTTGTATAATAAAGAGGATGTCTTGTTATCTTCAAGAAGATAAATTTGTTTATTTGGAAAAATATGATTTAGCAATTCTGGCAGTATTTTACAGACAATACACAGCCCTAAATGTAAGATTTTTTCAACAATCCAGTGATTGATTATTTTTATGATTACTCCAACATTCTGACTATTATTTTCTTTCAGAGAGAAAAAAGAGAAGATATCAGTTTTACATGTTGCCAAGTCCTCGACTTTGAAAAATTAAAAAAAAATTGCACATTTTCCATTGTTTGTTGGCATGTGATGTTTGCAATTGTGGTATAAAGATGAAATGTGCATTTGCACACACAGTTGCTTGTTCTTGGGTACCATTTTCCCTGTCGTGTCACTAACATTCTTCTTCACTGTTCTTCTTCCTACTACTTTCTTCCATTTCATTGCATCATGAGTTCTTACCACATTTCTCCACGATGTCCAACATGCACCCATTTATTATTTTGTCCAGGGGCATGTCAACTACTATTGGCATTCGGCCCACAAATGTAGTCAATGTTACATTCCTGAAGGAAGCAGTGTCTCCAGTAAAATCTGGTGCCGATCTACACATCGGGGTTTCCCCTTCCTGGTATTTCCAACAGCAGAGCTCCATCCGAGCTGCTGGCTCATGTCCCCCCTATAAGTAGTAGTAAGCAAGTTCAAGCGTGTGAGGAGAGAATGGGACAAGGACAAGGATGAGGTGCTGTCCGTGGCCCATTTGTTAACACGCTGTTCTGGCAGTGTAGCCCATTTATCAATACCCCCCACCGATCAGTGTAGTTGGCTGTTAGAATTCTCCTTCTCTTCCAAAACATGGGATACTGGAAGCCCATGAAACTGATGACAAATAGTTATTGAACATGAAATGACTAATTTTCCTATAATTATATTCCGAAGACTTTCCTTAGAATGTTAATAATACAATTAGTTACAGGATGTAACAAATACATCTGATGTTTCGGTGCTAGTGTGTGTTATGAACAACAGACATGGCTGTGGCTTAGCCCCCTCTCATGCAAATTATAGAAATTGGGTGCGTCAGCTATTTCAAGAGATCCATATAATATAAAAATGGATTATGATACATTTATGAAATTTATAGAGTAAATATAAGGTGAAAAGACGAAATGGAATACATCAAAATGCCAATTTTTTTATTTAGTGCATTAGCTCCCTCTCTCATTGAATGCCTCAATTGTGAATGTCATCGTATCATTCAACTCTGAAAACCCGAATACTAAAATATATTACCCTCAGAAATCACACGATATTTAAGCTAATTATAAAGAAGATAATTTCTTAACACTATAATTCCATAATATCCTTTCTCTTGCAAATGATGCAATCAGCATTCTTGCAATTTCATCTAAAACATAATTTCTGAAGAGATAAAATGAATAGACATAAAACTTATTTTTATCAAATGACCCAGTGAGATCAGAAGTATTGAAAATATCTTTAAAGTATTCACACTTCTTGAAGTTTCAAATGCTTACTTCTCAATTGATACTCACTGTCATGTTGCAGCAATTTAAGATTATTTGCCTAAAGTAAAATTCAGAATTATAAATATACATTCTTTGCTACAAAAAGTTGCTGAATCTACAACATATGACTTATATTTTAATTTTCATAACCAGGCACTCAAATAACAGGGCAAAATAGGTTTTAATTTCAATACAGTATATTAGAACAGCACACTACAATAGAATAATGTTTATATAGACACAAAATAAAAAGCATTTTTGAAAAGAGAAGTACATTATAAATCTCAAAACTTTTGTTGAAATAAACAATGGTATCAACTTTTTGTTTGTTATGTTCTCACAAGCCACCTTTATACAGGTTATAATCGAAGACTAATAAAAAAAGTTAAAATAATATTTACAAAATAAGATATAAAATTTTATTGATTAGACAAATGTTACTTGAAACTATATCATAAGAAAAGTAAATTTTCTACCTGAATTAAAGTAATATTTCCAGCTATCATGCTCCACTGTTGTCGAGGAGTATCCATGTGTCCCAAATTAGCTTGTGTTGATAGACGTGATGCAAGAGTCATTTCTAAGTTTCCTTTTAGACCAAGAAGAGCAAGAACAAGAATGAGTATCTCCGTTATATCTTCAAATACCACCCAGTGCTGAAATCATTAAGAAACGGGGAGTGATTATGTACAAACAAACAATATTTTATGGACTAGTTTAAACTGCAGGAATGATAATTTCAAATTCTATACAAAACTTGTTCTGGAAATTGCATCTAATGAATTCTTCTAATTGAATTGAATTGACGCCTTGTTTTAAGTGGCGAGACTAAAGCCATGAGGCCTACTCTTCCGGCTGACCACACAAATTTAACTACACTCCTCTCACCAACTAGCAGAGAAAATAGGTATTTCTTGGGCGACAAAACATGGAATTTCAAATTAGCTCAGAGGCTTGATCTTTTACATGTACTAAATCTACAAACATGGGGCAGCCGGTTTTACTTCCTCTCTGAATGATTTTTTTGCTATCGCAATGGTGACAGTAAAAATTTTTACTTAATGTAGTTTATTCCTTTTAAGGATTGATAGAAGTGAAAAATTACCATTTGTTTGAAGTTATTCTCACTAATATCAATATCACATGCATTTTTCACAGAAAAAATTACAATATTGCAACAATATTCAGAATTGTGATCCTCTGAAAGAAGCCCACACTTTGTCAACAAAATGAATTCAAATACACTTTTAGATAAGGAACACAAACTCAATTTTGTGAATGAAATTGAAATTTTTGTTGATCACATCCTCATCAATGAATACTTAAAAAAAAAAAAAAATTCTTTTTTACAACTAAGATGTGTCATTCATTACCTGAACAATGTCCAAAACAAGGCCGGCCCCGACCATGCCAAAACCTGCGATGAGAAAGGGGATGAAGACCTGAATAGCAATTGAGAAGTAGGTCTCATTGTTGTTTGATTCTTTTGGGCCTGCCAGCATTTTGGTCTCCACTACCACATCTGGCAGGCGCATTGTTTCCGACTCATCCACCAACGAGAGTTCTACCCCATCCACCGGCAGAACTCCAGCCCCCACACCATCCATGTCTGGAGTTAGCATGGTCAGGTGAGAATAACGGCACTTGACAGTTGAGTTTAGGGGCACATGCCCACTCCCATAATATACTCTACAACAAAACAATTCAAGATTAATCATTAAATCGTCATTAATCAGGATACATTTAAAACAACAAAATATCTCAAGCATTCTTAATGATTTACATCCAAGACTAAAACAACACAAATTATAAATTTAATAATAATTAATTATTAAATTATTTGATTTATTGAAATTATTAGATTTATTAATAATTATATTATCTGATTCACCCATGCATTTCTTTAGTATGGTAGAGTGGAATTTTATTTTGCTTTTGAATTTCTTTCTGATTACTTTTTAAACAAATGGAACATATAAACAAAAAAAAAAAAAAAAAAAACCACTTCGATATGTAAATGAAAATAATAGTATAGTTAGTACATTTTGAACATGATGGTCACTAAAGAGTTAAATATGTGAGTAACAACTGTTACATTACACACTACATTACTAATTTTGCTGAAGCAATTTATAATAAAAAGAATCAACATTTGCGAATCTATTCGCCAAGTTAACTATAAACTTACAATTTTGGCTATCATGGAGAAAAAAATAGATTTTGAAATGCATACCATGATTAATTAAAAATAAAATTTAGAACAAAAAATAGAGATTGTAGCACGTGTCCATAACTTCATGACCTGCACATTATTGGTAATCCATTCCTATCTCTTTAAAAGAAATTTTAAAAATCTGAAACTTGTGCATGCACATGCACATCTTCATGCACTTCACATAGCACTCGGGGTTTTTGAGCGATGAGAAAAGAGGCTATTAACATTTATAGTAGAAAGTCATTTTCTCTCATACTTTAAGTAATGTTATGGTTCGCGAATCTGCAGACATGAATTATTCACTATCGTTTGGATATGATACTAATTTGAAAAGGTAAGGAAAGGTCAGTTACCTAATTGTTTAATCTTAGAATAATTGAGAAACGTGTACATCATACGCATAGATAAAAGGTAACCCACCACTAATCGGGATAGCTATGCCAATGACAAGCATGTGGCATGCTTTAGAAACTATGTCGATCACATTGCAACTACTCATTTACCACGCTCGACTCACGCCATCCCAAACTCAACTGCGACGGTTCAAGACAGCTGCGGTTGACATAACCCCCAAATATCCCCTCCCTTTCTCAGCGCATACACGCTATACTTCACGCCAATGCCTAACTACTAAATCGTCCAGAAACAGCCTCACCGATTGGCTGTAAACAATATTTGAAAAGGTTGGTGCGCCACTAATGTGGCGCCAAGTCTAAAGTGTCCAATCCCGAACCATTCCGTTAATTCAGTCAGTATTCGAAATAGTGCGCTAAACTGGGGGGGATTCGCAAAATTCTTGTTTCCATAACAATCATAACAAGTTACCCGAAACTGTGAAGATCCTTTAAAAATTGGAAATTAAACTGTTTCATTCGATTCAGGTTCCAGCAATATAATTGAAGATAGAACAATGGTTTCAGTTTCGCTCTCACTGATTAAATGGTTTAAAGGATTCGGTTACGATTTGATGCTTTATTCAAAATAATTTGAACTATTTAGTTCACTATTTCAACCTAAAAGATTAACTTAGTACAAATTTGATTAATGTGATTAAAAACTAGATTCCTTGAATATCACAAATATTGAAAATACTCAATACACCCATTTTACATGGACCTAACGTTTTTATAATTCCGAAGATGCATCTGACAGCTCTCCCTAAAATGCTGCATGGTATCTTATTAAACTGTAATTTTTTCTAGTATGGGCTTAGTCATTTCTATATTCCCTTCAGTTACAACAATGATTGTGAGGCAATATAATGTGAAGTGTTTATTGGCAGGTAACATAAATTCATCTCTAGCTCAGGTTTATTGGTATATTAGTGGCGGCTCGTGTTTAGGTTGCCCAACACCCAATTAATCCTAAAATACTTATCACTTGTTAGGAATACGTCTTTTCGATTTAATGTCATTCAAATATCGAGATATTGCTGCAAAAGCAATATATGAAATCATTTTGAAATCAAAACGCCCCCTTCGAACGCTCTTTCTGGCATCTAACTGCAAGTCAGGCAGCGCATCGCGCACGTGTGACGTGACGCTTAGGGGCGCTTAAATTGTGAAGTACCAGCCATTCGAATTGCCGCGCGTTCCTATGCGTCTACATCGCGAGCACTTCTGTCATTCCCCTTGCCAGCGGCGTACCTTCAGTTGGTGTCAGCCGGGGCAAAACAAATGGTATCACTATTTAGTAATAGATATTTTAGTAAAATATCTATTACTAAATAATTTGTACATTATTTGATAAAATACAAGTATTTGTGGTATATTATAAGAATAAGTTTCTAATTAGTGTCACCCCTAAAAATGGTGTCACTCGGGGAGGACTGCCCTCCCCCCTGTTCCCCCCCCCCCCACAAACGCCATTGCCCCGTGCGTTTTAGTGACTCAACGATACATTAAAAGCGCTTCAGGCTTACCTCGCAAAGCACTAGACTCTGCGGCATTGAGAAATCTAGGAGGGGTACCAGCTTTCTAGCTTCGTCGAAATATCACTGTAAGCTACGCGTGATGTTGAAGGTGTAGAAGTTCAGTCAATTTTTTTTTTAGTCAAATATGAAATTAATTTCTAAGTTATACTAAGGACCATATTAATAGTCAGACAGGGAGCTTGAGACTTTCTCTACGGAAAAAATAAAATTACGACTTATTTCTTAGTCGACTTATCTCTCTCAAAAATAAATGTTATTTAATTTTAGCCGTTTGGTGAAAGAAACTGTAAGGGGAGACGGTTATGAATCCTAGGGTATGTGAGGAAGTCTGTGTCAAGATTATTATGAACTACACCAATTAAAATCAGAGAAAAAGGGTGTTGTATTACTCGCTTGTGATTGTTTAGTTTTCCGTGGTTTCTTCAATCAATACCAGTCAATGCTAGGACAGGACCTTAACAAATCGACCACAGACCGCACGCGATCTTTCCTTCCTTATCCTTATCCCTTCATCTCCCCTCACACACACACACACACACACACACACACACACACACACGCGCGCACACACACACACACACACACACACACACACACACACCTGTATGAACTTGCACAACACTTCCATACTTGTCGGGAGCTTAGAACCCATCGCGGCTGGAACGCTGCATCACTGGTGGAAATATTTGGAGCGGAAAACCCCGCAATACGAATAGGTCGAAGTCGAATATGAAGTTCCACTGGGGGGACATCTCGGGATACAACATGCGGGACTTCAGGGGTTTAATGATCGCAGCCAATGACGCATAGAGAAACACAATAATTAATCAATTTATTAGATGAAAGAGAGAAATATGGGGTTTATAATGACCATGGTGATGCATACGGATTATGGAAATGTGGTGAAATGCAGGTCAGGTGAAGCGGAAGAGTCCCGAGAGAATCTGCTACGGAGCCATTTTTCCAGAGCAAATTCCACATAGGCTAGGATTTGAACCTGGTACCGCAAAGATGGAAGGTGAGCGGCCTGACCACTACGTCACGATTCACTCCTCAGAGACGCAGCCATAGAGAAGTCGAGAAACCAGAAAACGGTGTTGTAGCAATTTAAAATTCATCCTTATAAGAGTATGTTGTAGTTTAGTACTTACATGACTGTCCAAATCGAATGACTTCATGATTTTCATTAATCTGTACCTTATTGTCTTATGATGTATGACATTAAAAATGTGTGCAAGCAATGACGGAAAGGTAAAATATTCGTACGTTTTCTTCCTACCTCCACAATTTATTTCTCCTTTTCCGTTTAACAGACACTCTCTCACACACACATGTGAAAAACTAGATTGTAGTTATTAGAGCATATTGTTAGCGAACAAGGGTTAATTGTGTGAGTGGTATGTTAAGGTGACTCGAATTGTTTAAGTAATACTATTACAGTTAAATGGTTGTATTTTCGTCTGATTACACTCAGTATAGGCTTTTATATACTGCAGTCCTTTATGCTGATATTAGTGTATTCAGATTTAATTTGTGGTTCTTCTACCAGAAGGTAATATGCCGCATTATGCAGGATGAGCGGGATATAAAGACGAGCGCTCAGTGCGTTAGTGGAACTCGTCCAGTCATCTAACACTGAACTAATCCACGCCAGCCAGGATGCTGCGGACGGAGGGCGTTTTGGCTGGCGGCCAGCGAAGACGGCACAATGGGCGTGCGACCGCCACCTGCTGCCTCGCCAATTGACTTTGCCTTGCTTCAAAATTGCCACTAAGAAGAGGCAGCTTCTCACTCAAAGCTGGAACGCTGGGAGCCCGATGGGAGCCGAGGTTGACTCGCGCGTAGTTTGTTCCTACCAACCAACGCATTACAAGTAATTAGGGCAAAGATTAAACTTCTCAAAACTGATTTAAGTGATAGAGGGCGAATTCTATCATTTTTTTCTGATCGGGACCTGCGATGTGCAAAGCATTTGGAAGATTCCCACAATACGAAGCATTAATTTAAACCGTGCAATACCCTAGCATAACAGAAACAGAACAGAGGGAATTTGTGTTCCACTAAATAGCAAATGCTGTGTAGCTGAAATTAAAATAATATTACGCGCTTAGAATTCAGTACACAGACGTTAATCACTGGGATATAGAGCAACGATGACGTGCGATAAATATTTCGTGTAGATCACAACATTAAAAAAAAAACGACCTCAACTTCTCACCATTCTGCACAGAAAATAATTACAACCAAGCCATCCCCTTAAGAATCTTAAGTAGGAACAATTGAAATTCAGTTTGACTCATTTATGTAAAATTCAAAATAATACAAACTAAACCTATACTGATTCAAATCCAATGAAAAATGGGGCGAAGAAGTAGCAAGATTTTCTCAGAACAAAAATTGTGTTGTCATTCGCACACTATTATTAATAAAAGAAAAGGTAAAACTACACTTCCTAGCACTTAACGCATTAATTATTATACTTAAAATACATAAAATATAATTATTTGTTTTCAAATTGTCGCAATTTTATATCCTACCAAAATGAAAATGAAACATAACAAACATTTCAAGCAAGACTGGTCTCAGAAAAATTGGCAAATTTTCTAAGCTTTGTTGAAAATAATAGTGACATGATTTAATTGGTTCCAACAGGCGTGCGTGTAAACGTGTGTGTGCGCGGCAGTGGGAAGTCTCCTGTCCGAAGGCATTAATTTCTCTTGAAGCTTTCGTTTCATTCTTTAACAGTCGCATGACAATGGGAGGGTGGCGTCTACAACGGACTCCAGCGTAGTTTTTTTACTCTTAGTTTCGATAAGGAGTTACTATTTAATTGTTTACGATTTTTATTATTATAACCTTTCCTAGCACGAAAAGTTTCGTCTTTCAGCGCTTTTCGGATGTTTACAAAATAATTCGAAACCGTCGCTATGCCCAATTTTTTCCTGTACATTCTGGTGTTTTCTTACAGCAACATTGCAATATTGAGAATGTTGCTACGAACTAGTTATTTAAAAAAGTGTCCTAGAGGAAACGGTCGCCAAGTACAACTAGTAAAACTACAACCACACATATTTTCTCACATACCACTGCGCTACATATACACCATGAGGTTCGAACTCAGGCCGACGCTTAAAAATTTAATGGTCATAAATTACAATTATTTCAATAAATTTCATAGTTTTTAAGATATAAGCGAAGAACTAAAAACGGACGAAAGTTTCAGGGATTTTTGCAATTATCTTATTGAAGCCGAACTTTCTTGAGATGGCAAACAACAAATTAGGATTCAGCACCCTCGAAAACACATCCAACCGTTGAGAAAAAAACATCCGTAATTTTTGCCTGGATCGGGCCCTTTTGAGCACCAATTGATTGGGCTATCAACCGATATTTCCAACACGAAAATTTTACAATTTTCGAAAACACGGAAAGTTCACCGAAAGGGGACTAGCACCATAAATTGAACCGTTCATTGTTTCATACAAGGAGAAAATTGAATGAAAAAATTTGGTGCGGTTTAAAAAAAATAGTTTTAGAAATTGCATAAAATTCAGGCCCATATCACACGAAATCTACTCGTGTTTTCAAAAAATTGAACCCTCGCGGTCTCGGACCGAA